TTATACCACTTGTCAAAGTTTGGTGTTCGTAACGTTTCATTGGTCGAGAGCGAATTTTGATGTCGCCAGCGCGACCTCCGGCGCGACCCCCTGCAGAGTCGCAGCGCCGACCCCCTGCTGAGATAACGTGGTATCTCATGGGAAATGACAACTTTTATCCATTTGAAATTGTCTTTTATCAATAGATATTTCATTGTTTACCTTGTAGTTTGGTTTTTCTTTGACAAGTGGTATATAATAAAAAACTTATTTACTGCGAACGAAGGAAACGTTATGTTTTGTGGACCCGAGACCGAAGTGTTAAATAATTCATCGGAACGTTTAACGTTACAAATAACAAAAAAGATAAAACGCTCCTTATATAATGATAATCAGGGCACCAGAGTATGTTCACATTATATTGCGTCACTTTCACTACGTGTTGTAGTGTTCAAGCAAAAGCAAAAGCTACTTTTGCATTTATTTCAGTAATGATTAATGCATTGGCATTTATAACAATGATTTCATAGCCCTAAAAATGTTTTTAAAAAATCCCTCAAGGCTCAACGCTTGGTGCAACCAGCAAATACTTTTCAAGGCCACATATATATAGGCTAAAAACAACTTTGCGTTGAACCCTGAAAAGATTTGATGTTTTTAAATTTGAAAGTCCATTATTTCGCCAAAATACACGCGACACTTAAAATCGTATTTAACCTTTACACAGTTACACTATTTTATTTATTTAAACCAGCAAATTACTGCAGCAAAAGATTCAAAAAGTAAATCACAACCTCGCCTCTGTGACCTCGCTGTATAGCGACTTATATTAGTTATATATCACTTATGTCCGCGAGCAACATGAAGTATTGCGTGTTTTTTAAAAACCAATTATTTTTAATAAGGGAAATATTTTAGAAGGTTTAAAACTTTCAATGGCTGGCAATGGCATTTCTAACGCTGGTAATCTTACTTGCAAATTAAAGGTGCTCAAAGAAAAAATTGAGAATGAGTTGGATGGTGTAATGAAGTTTTGGTTGGAAAATTCTCATGATGCTTCTCATGGGTATAAACATATTATACAGGGTGTCTCAAAAAAAACGCAACCACTTAAATATGCAAGAATCTTAATATTGTTCGGGTTTGCACCACAGTTCAGCTAAAACGACTTTTGGCATTTTAAATGAAGGATTAAGAGCCATTTTCAATTCCCAGAGGTGCTTATCTATTGCGCTTTAAAGCTTTGCTTATTTAAGTGGTTGCGTTTTTTTTTGAGACACCCTGTATTCCTATTTAACAGCTATATATACTGTACATATATTGTACTTTAGCCAAAAGTAGAAACTACATTTGGCAGGCATAAATTTATGCAAAATACTAATCTGGCGTGTCATATAACAGCTCTTGATATCACACTCTAAGTATAATGCTGTGACTTTTGCATAGGAACACAAATTTGGTGATAAACTAAATTTGCAAGTCTTGTAATTGCCTGAAGTGGTCACACCAAAATGTTTCAACAATTTGTAATTTCACACACAAAAAAATATCCTGCGTAAAGTAAAGTAAACACTCCTGACTCTCCTAATACTCCAAGTTCAGTGGATTCATTGTACAATAAGAACATTATTCATGGCTGTTTTAAGGGGATTTCACAATTGTTTGGATAAAAATGGACAGGTTTATGATACAACAAAATACGGATGGTTACAAGGTCGACAGGTAAATTGATTTCTATAATCTAGGTCAAGTGCACAAATAGTTATAGTGCTGATATACATATAGTGCTGACTCCTCTGCTGAAGTTTTAACAATATACCTGGCTGCTGTAATCAATTGTTTCTTCAAAATATAAAGGTTTGGATGTATTGCAAGTTGTACAATACAACACAAAAATATCACACGGAAGAGATTCTGGCTGCGGCAAGAAAAGGTTTGTTTATCTAAAGCATCAAATTTGGTATAACAATTAACTGCCTAAATTATATTTGTTTATCTAAAATTTGAATGTGAGTTGCAGAAATGCTTCTAACAGATCTATGCATGATTGGGGTAAATGAAGTTAGGGCATGGCAGGCTGTGGGTGTCCTTAAGAGGTTCAAAAACAAAACAATTATGAATTGTGCATGATTTAATTGTTGACATGCATGTTTTGTGATCGACGCATACCAATTTGAAAGACAGTGTTCAAAACATATTTATGATACTTGGGATTTCATAGTATCATGCAGAATGCGGAGTAACTTGGGAGAAATAAACCATATATAATGTCACTTTCGCTTGTGTTAGTTTTGTCTTGAAAAGTATACATTCTTAGACAGCTTAACCTTGGGATGAACAAGTGTTGTGCAAAGTGCATATAATTCTTTCAGGTGGGGATTTTCTTCAAACCTACTTCAAAAGGCCTGAGGACAACAAATGTTATTTTGCAACTACTTGTGATGGAAAACCAATAAAAATGCAGCGAACAATCTTCTGTGAGTGTTTCTACATCATGGCAATGACTGGACTCTACCAGGCAACCAATGAAAGTAAATACAAGGTGAGCGTATGTCACAAGCTCTTGTGTATTTGTTGAGAGGGTCAAACTATTGATATATGGATGCACATGGAATACACATCACAACTGTTCAAAGGTAAAATTTTACTGTGCAACAATGGTTCATTCATATAAATGGATCAGGTGCTGATCTAAGACCAAGGGTTAGAATTCTAATTCCTGCATCCATTGCTAAGAACAAATTGAAAGTGAATATAATACATTCTCTGAGTGTCCCTATGTATGTCTAGGATGAAGCCATCTCTGTCCTGTCTTCTGTTCTTCATTGGATTCATGTGGATGACACTAGCCTTGGAAGACCTAAGTTGACTGGGTCACCTCCAGTGAATAAAATGAGCATTCCTATGATGGTCATTTGTGTTTTAAATGAGGTCTGTGATGACAAGGAAATGGCGTCACAGTATGAAGGGGAACTGCAATGGGCGGTTAATGAAATCTTAAAACATGTCCAGGTGCGTCGACTGAATGTGACTGACGAGGGAAGATCGGTTTTTGTCGAGGGGAGCAAGTCGAGGGTCGAGTCGACGTTAATTGTGCTTCCAAATGCGATTCCTCTAATATAAACGTCTGGTGTTGTAGCTCAGAAATATTTGTATCTAGTTTGAATTACACAAGGCTTGTCAGGACACAAATCAAATCTACGGTTGTACTAACTTTTACCTTTCAGAGAAACGGGACTGTTATCTTAGAAAATGTTGATGTGAATGGTCACGAGATTCCAGGATGCGAAGGGCGTCTCATCAACCCAGGCCATGCCATAGAGGCGGGCTGGTTTCTTTTGAACCACGCCCGGGCTTGTGGCGATGATGACCTAAAACGCACTGCGATAGAAAAATTCATAGAATTACCCTTCGCGATAGGATGGGATTTTGAGAATTCAGGATTGTATTACTTTTTGGACGCTGATGGTTTTTCACCAACGCAACTGGAGTGGAATATGAAATTGTGGTGGCCGCATTGCGAAGCTCTGATCGCGTTTCTCATGGCTTACAAAGAGACAAAATGTTTGAAACATTTTGAAAGTTTCTGCAAAGTAATTCAGTACACCTGGACTCATGTGAGTTCATGTTTGTACCTTTTTATCAACCAATGCTCTAGGTTATCATTATCAAGCATCAGTTACACTGACTCAGTCACTCAGATATATGACTCAGTTGAATTAATCGAAAAATCTATCTATCATGAGTATCATCAAATAATCAATGAATAATTATCCTAATTATACCATCAGTATACATAATAGACTTGATTATCATTACATGGTGTAAGATTATGATCAATACGACGATAATTATATTATCGATAAATCGAATTCGTAGATTATATGCCAGATTGATGATCAGTTAATCAATTGAAAAAGAAAGAACGAGTATATCAGTGGATAATGGTTGAACGGATAACTATTGGAATGATTCATCAGATTCAAGTATTATAAAAACATGTTTAGGTATTGATAAAGAATGAATGATTTGAAGTGAATAAACTAATCAACTGATAACGAGAAAAACCGTAGTTTTAACTAAAAGAATCTGTTGTTTTTCAGTTTAAAGACGATGAAAGTCAGGAATGGTTTGGCTATCTGAATGAAAAAGGAGAAATTACACACAGGTTTAAAGGTGGTCCATTCAAAGGTTGTTTCCACGTGCCACGTGCATTGTTCATGTGCAGCAAGATGATAGATGAAATCATAACACTAAACTGTCAAGTTTAGCTGCGTATTAGACTATTAGCTAGGCTTTTAATAATGCATTATGACTTGAGTGACATCTATGTTTTTGTACAATGTACATAACTAGAAATCAGTACAAATCTTCATCCCAAATAAAGTTGTTTTAAAAAGTGAAAAAAAAAGGCAAAACTTGGCCCTTGAGCGTAACTATCATGGTAAGATCGATTAAACTGGAATATGGTATATTCGACCATGGTAAGGTCCAACCATGGGTCCAACAAGAACAAGCAACAATGAACAGTGTTGCCAACTGTAATTTTGTAAAAATCCCAAGTAAGCGCCTGAAATATCCCGAGATTCCCCCTAAAATCCCGAGATTCTAATTTCGACCCCAGTCCTCAGCCTTGGCGCACCCTAGTACCCAGTCCGGTCAGTTTGCGTTTCAAAAGCGGTACTTCTCTGCATAACCGATTGTACAAATAGGACAAATAGTGTTTATTGAGTGACTTTGAGTAGCGTTTTTGCCGCAAGTATGAATTTACCTTAGATTTTTAACATGTTTATTTGTCAATTTAACGAAAACATCTTTTCCCAAATTCCAAACTTCCCTTTCCCAAAAAATCCCTAAAAAAATCCCGAGATTACTATTTGAGAAATAAATCCCAAAAAAATCCCAACTGCTTCAAAAAATCCCGAGATCTCGGGATAAAATCCCGAACTTGGCAACACTGACAATGAACAATATTCCTTTATCGGAATCAATCGTATGTTCTTCGGCATCCTTCGTTCTCAGTTCGGCCTTCTTGCTTCACGTGTACGAAAATTAGCGAATTTTTTGCAAATTGCTTACACAAAGAAAATATTGAAGAAAATTATGGCTTCAAGACTTATTCGAAGAGTAATTAGCACTCCAAACGCCCCGAAGGCTGGGGGACCGTACAGGTAGAGATTGAAAGAGTACTTGACGGATCTTTTGAGATGATTTTTTTAAAGCGATGTATAAATATTTTGCAGCCAAGCTATTGTGGCAGATCGTACGATTTACGTGGCAGGACAGCTCGGATTGGACCCGAAGGTAAAATGCTGTTTTGTACTTGATCTGCACCGGCCTTCTCCTATATTAGACTTTCTTGCAAACTATTTTGTACAAGGAAGTACAAGTATTACCGTGGACAAATATTTATATTTTCGAAATTCCAATAAATTGATTTCACGTGACTTTCGTATAAGATTTCAATTTGGGCCAGCCAAGCGAGCCAATAATTAAAACCAGTTATTGCAGTCCGACAGTTGTTCACTGAATATATCTGTGTGCTGTGCTTTGTAGTAAACATGTGTAATTTTGTATTTTTGCTTTGATGCAGTGTGGGTTTGGGAAACATTACCAAACATTTGAGATTGGCTCCCAAAACTCTCAGTAAAAGACCTGCACTAATTAATTGAATTGCAATGCAAGGCTTTAGAATTTTAAATGACCCCACATCTTGCAAAAGTATCCATCTCATAGTTCAGATATTTCCCTACTTTATAATACCCTCTGCCTCAAATGGATATTGTCTCTAAATACAAAAGGAACCAAAGGTTAATTTTAAGTTTAATCTGGGAAAATTACTTCTTAGTGGACCTGACCAAACTCCCATATAAGATTACCACACCCAAAGAATGTATTAATTTTGCAATGTTTCTTTAAGTACAGTATAGATTTCTTTGCTTCTTTTGTTCTTGATTATGGAAATTTGTGCATGATTGAAACAAATTATATTTTTACATTGTAATTTTCTAATGGCATGCCATCAGTTGATATAAAGCTAAGTTTTGAAATCTAATAATGACTGTGATTTTTTTGCTAAATTGAGTTTATATGAATATGAATATTTTTTATTAGGATTCCAAAATGGTTGGCACTGATGTTCAATCACAGACTAGACAGGTAAATCGATGTTCATTTTATGACCATGCCAGACTACCACTATGTTAATGAAACAAACTTGTAGTGAAATAAAACATTTAAGAAGCATTAGGTCTAGAGGTACTGATACCTTTTCTTCTTATAACTAGGCTCTCAGCAATATAAAAAATATTTTGGAAGCTGGGCATTCCTCACTGGAAAAGGTTGTAAAAGTTACTGTGTACTTGGCTGATATCAAGGACTATGATGAGATGAATAAAGTTTACTCTGAATGTAAGGACGTTTTCCATGCTTTGATATTGCTAGTGCGATGATGCTTTTAATGACTTTGCCTTTGCCGTTTTGTAGTTTTCAAAGAAGCAAAGCCTGCACGTGTGGCCCTTGAAGTTGCACAATTACCAAAAGTTAGTCTTATTAGCAAACTACAATACAATAATTCAGAGGACAAGGAGGTTGGCAAATTAAGCCTAAAATTGAATAAAATCTTCCTGACATTCCTCTTTCATAGTATAATTTTGCAATTTGGGTGGACTTTTTTTATCTATTTAATCAATATATTAAACAGTTGAGAGCCACCTTTCTGCCAAATGATATTTACCTTATACCAATATAACCAGGGAGCAGCGTGGCAGCGTCTTCAAACAAATTAGCATCCTAACCAGAGTTAGTATACTAACTCTCCTGACAAAGGCTCTCAGGTCGAAACGTTGAGAAGTGTTTGGTCTATTTTAGGCAGTTGTTATACCACATTTGATGCTAAGTTACCTCATTTCACTTTTGTTTTCTTTTATATAGAGTGCTCGTGTTGAAATTGATGCAATTGGTATGGTTGGTGATGTTGAAATGGACAATGCACAAGCTAATTTGTAATGTTTACTGTCTAATGGTTAAATAGAATAGTATAAAATGAATAATACTTGTGTATAACTTTCAGTCTTGTTGCTTCAAAACATCTTTAGTACCGTAAGTACATCTCATTCTCAGCCTTAATTACTTGAATTTATAGCCATATAAAGAATATATTTCCAAAGACAGGTCACGACTACGCCGTAAGATTTTTTGTAATATATTATATAAAATACATTCTATAGTAAGATAATGATTAAGTTTGATTAGGAATGATTCGTTTTGATTAAATTTGTCAATCGACTAAGACTATATGTAATCACTCCTTACCTGAAGAGTGGATCTCTACAGCTATCTCTGGCGTACAAATAAATGAAATAGTAAACAATTATTGGATGAGGTTTTTGTGATATGCACAGTTATCAAGGTCGAGGTAAGCGTTATCAGCCGAGCCAAAGGCAAGGCTGATAATGCTTACCGAGACCTTGATAACTCTGCATATCACAAAAACCGAATTCAATAATTGTTTTATTATACATTTGAAGAATAGTAAACATGGTTTGTTACAATGAAAAACCTTATTTAATAGCAACATCCAAAAATACATCAATTATTAATATATAAATATATTCAAATGAGTACCGCTTGTTAACCACCGCAGGCTCACTTGCAGATAACTGAATTTTGTATAATAATTGCTGTTATTACATACACAAGCGCCAGTTATGAGGTATGCTGCAATTTCATTGGTTGGCTACTACACAGATATTAGCTCATATCTGTCTGGTGGAGAAAGTAAACAAAATGGCTGAAAGATTTGGGGAGTAGTTGAGTGAAATAGAGATTCAAGCTTTAGTTGATAATAGCACGCCAAAATGCACCGAAAGGGCGACAAAGTTTGTGTATATAATAAAACAGTTATTCTGCTCACTTTCGTCGTATATGGCCGATAGCCAACTCGGCGATACGCGCCTCGTCGGCTATCAGCTCATATACGACTCGAGTTCGCAGAATAACTGTTAAATATAGGTCCTCGCTATATCTCTCTGAGACTCTCTCTAACTGACAACCGAAGACAAATCTACCGTACATGCGTTTTTCATTACATGTAATTGGAACCGATATTCTGTTCATACTATCCTCAATCAAATGTCAGTGATAGTTTCCTGTATGTTAATCAATGATGTAAATCAAGGTGTAATCAAGTTAATAAGTTAGGCTGTCTGAAACATTCTATTACATAGAAATTGCCATGTTGGTGTTGCTAAAATTAATTATTTTTTGATGACTTTATTTTGTAACGTTTACGGTTTCCCACTCTCCCACCAGTAGATTTTACTGTCTCTTTAGATGCAATTCTCTCATTGGTTGAAGGACACATGGATGAGGGCCTGTTTCTTGGTAAACAACAGGAAGCTGTCACACTATTTTGTGAACTTTCACTTGTCTTTGCCCTTATGTGTTTGATTAATATAGATACCGTCTTACAGTTCGAGTCGTGATTTTTCGTAGCAACTGGCAAGTATCTTTCGCCGCTTCCATTTTTGTTATACAGAAACATACACCTCGCTGGGAGTTTAATATGGATCATTCAAAAGGATTAACTATGCCTGTAATGGCGGCTATAGCGCCGCCAACGGATGAAGGCGACCTGCTATTAAATGCTTTCACGTCCGACCAAGGTTTCGAGAAAATGGCAGAGTATCTTCTCTTGAGAGTTTCAAATGATACAAACTCACTATCGACCATTTTTCTATCACTTCAAGGACTCTTTAGCATTCAACAAAATACTTCTCGATATCAGTGCTTCGAAGGCCCTGTGTATGACAAAATACGAAGTTTTCTGCGCAAATGGCGATGCGAGTCTCGAATGAGTGAGGCATATCAGGAACCGCTTGGAAGCGAATCTAAAGTGGTTCCATTTCTTCGCAGTCTCACCATCTTTAAAGCTCTGGAGGTACCGTTGTTTATCGATACATATGGAAAGAAGGAAAAATTCTTTCCTTCGGAACTGGAGGATATCCTGATTGATTTAAACACACCAATCGTTCACGTCACCCACAGCATGGAAGCAGATCAAATTCGAATTCAAGGGTTCAAACCAAGTGATAATAGAAATATTATCGAAGGAATTTGGTTTTGCCCAAAATATGAGCTTGGCGCGGCAAACGAAAGTATTTATGGAAACCGGGCATTCGAGACGACGCTTGCGAAGTTGGGCGTTTCTCTACTACATCAAGGTGAAACTGTTTCATACAAACGAATGGTCAATTTCATTTTGTATGCTGGAGAGATGCCTTCAATGCCCATAATACTAACATCCGTTAAAAAAGCAACCGATTTCGCTCTAAGAGCCCGAGAAAAAGAGTATACAACTGTATCTATTTTCGTACCGTCGAAGTTCCTGCCAAAAGCTGAAAATTTCAATTGTGTTATCAGCCAGCCATATGTCGTAAACCATAAGTTATTTTCCTTTTGTTTGAAAGAAAAACGTTTAACACGGAAGTTTTTCTGTCCAAAATAACTTGTTGAGTTGCTCTGATCAATAGGTTTAGAGAAATAGTATCAGTTTGGAAAAGTGGTAAAACGATTCACATTAGTATGAACACTTTTAAAGTAGTCACATCAGTATGAACACTTAACACTATTAACACTTCTATGGACACTATTTTGTTATATAAACGCACTCTTAAATATAGTGCTTAACTTTCTTACAAGTTACAAGATCATAATTTTATTGCAATCTCCCTTTAGGTTAAAACATCGAGAAATTGTATACTCTAGGCAGCTGCTCATTAAACTGCATTTGATGCTAACTTGTGTAAAATACACTACCGGCCTCTGCTTGTTGTAGTTGTAGAACGCGCGGGGATGCTTGGAGAGGTTGCAAGTTTCTCTGCAAAGTGTTCTAAGAGCCTTGGAACGAGGCTGCATTTTTGCCAGTTGTCCTGTAAGACATACGATAAGCGCATTTTACATTAATTTGAAAATTTCAGAGATACTAACGGTTCAACGCTAAAGCTCTACTACATTGTACCCTAATTTTATCAATGAAAATACCCCTTATTGACATGAAGCAGTAGTACTTGAAGAAAAAGTGAGTTTTTTATTGTGAATATAGGTAATGTTTTCTCGCAATTAATTTACACATTGATGCAATGTTTATAGCGTACAAAATGATAGTGAACCTTTACATGGTCTTTGAATGCTGTATACAATATTTAACTAGAATATGCGTATTTACAAATAGTTCGTGCCTGGCTATAATGCCATTTAATTCAATAGTAGTTTTGCAATAAGATAGCCCTACTCCCCAGACCCTTCTTCGGCCGCAGGTTCATCGGCTGCTGGCTCGGAGTTTTGTTCATTTGCAGGCTCAGCTGCTGACTCTTCCTCAGTCCCTTTTTCAGTTTCTTCTGGCTGTGCTTCCGCAGGAGTTGCCGCCTCTTCCTCAGGTTTTGATGCATCTGCATTTGCTTGTTCAGATGTTTCAGCCCCAGCGGTACCAGTGTCGGTATTTTCGCATTCCTCAGGCGCTTTGGCCGAATCTTCCACTTGACTTTCATCCTTTTCCGCCTGAGCTTCGCCGCTTCCATTATTATCAGCGGCATTATCGTCGTCTTTTACTTCATCTTGTGCAGGTGCATCGTTTCCTGCTGAATTTTCCGCGGGCTTTACGTCCTCTTCCGAAGGCTTTTCCGTGTCCCCTTCTGCTGGTTTTCCATCTTCCGAAGGTTTTCCGTCTTCCGAAGGTTTCCCATCTTCCGAATCTTTTGCCGCGTCTTCCTCGGTAGGGTTTGCATTTTCCTCCGAAGGTTTGGTCTCTTCCGACGGCTTCCCGTCTGTCGCCGAGGTTGCCTCGACGTTTTCCGAAGTTGTCTGTTCGTTAGCATCATTATCAATAGACTCAACGTGGTTTGCCTGCTGGCTGCTTTCGGGCGCATCACTGGGACTCGCCTCCGGATCGCTAAACTTTTCGACCGCCTCCTCGCCGATGGGACCCTCCCGTTCGTCCGCAGCTGGCTTCCCAGCTGTTCCTAGAAAAAAGCAAAAAAAATATTTGATCATTCTGGATTAAAAATAGACGGGCACTAGATTCCCATTATGACGTCCACGACTTGCAGTATTTGCACAACGCGATCCGGCTAAAAGAATGATGATGGGAATATCGATTTATTAGGTGTAAATTAGTTACATATCGATGAACTCTTGGGAATGTACCAATATGATATTTATTCCCCTATAGGGTTCTGAGTTAAACATATTTAAAACTATCTTTTTTTCCTATCAACTTTTTGTCTGTGACATCCCTAATTGATCAAACGGTAATTTTTCATATAAAATGAAACTGGCAAAGAAAGTTCGCTCGTGTTAATGGGAGCAATCCTTGGACGCATCTTGCTGTAATGCGCAGTCTCGCACACGACAGTCTGCAGTCTTCATCAAATGAATAAAAATATACAATAAAATAAGTCACTTCATCTAGATAGCCATACACAATAATTTTCAATTGTTTTGATGCAGGTGAAAAATTCGCCCATTTGGCTTCAATGCGAACTACTTGTTAAAAGAATAAAGAAAGATGTTTTTAATCAAATATTAAAATTTTTCATGTTTGTACGTGCATGCAGCATGCAATACAGGCGGCTTCGAGCACACACAATTGTCAATATTTTACGCGTTACCATAGAGACTGTCCCACGTTTGTGCCGATAAAACTAATGATTTACGTCCGAATCAGGGGATGGCTGCTGTATTATTAAGTTTGTTTGATCAATTTTCCGCGTCAAACGTTTACAAAACAATGTTTTCGTTGTTCTAGCAACTACGCTGTGTTTATTGTCGCACGGCTTGAAAATATCCTCCATTCTTTCAGAGTAATTTATGATATGCTTTGATCAGATGTTCCCCCTAATTCGTATTCTTTGTCTTATATAATGAGCTCTATTCTATGAACATTCAACAGAACTAGAAGCTTAATTTTAACGAAGAAATAACTTTTCTTTAAATCTTCTTCTATTTTGCTTAATAAAGCATTAAGCTCCATTCGCCGCAATTGCGTAGACGTATGGTGTTTAATTTATTCCGAATGGCTGACTTTGATGGCTTGAAATGACATTGCATGCTGTTGGAAAAAATATTTGCACGAAGGTGTTTATATTACAACGTTATTTTAGCATGTGCACTTTGAGCTTACCAACAAAATTAAACCAAATATACGTCAAAAAGCTGTGAAAACAAAATGCCAGATATATGTCAATCCTAGCTGTGTAACGAGGCTGACGCAACGCCGTAACTTTAAATGTCTTTTATCCGTGCGAGACTTTTGAAGAATTGCTTTTTCATACATGCGAGTAGTGTTGTGATTCTCCATTGAATATATACCACAGGTTTTATATATGCATTACGATCAGGACTACGAAACAACACGTTACAAACTTACAGTGGCAACGTCAAAAATACAGGTTGCCATGGCACAAAATATATATAGAGGAAGAACAGCATTCATTTTCCATGCTCTGAAAACCTTACTCGCGTTTATCGCGTGTGTGTGACGAGTTCAACTTTACTGGAGTATCTTTGCACATGTACTTTTTCCAGAAACCAGACAGTATTACAAAATATGGTATATCTGCGGTTTATATTACATGCGGTTTTTATGCACTTGGGTTCACACTTATAATATCAGGTAGAATTGTACAGAACTGATTATATATACTCATCATTAGTAGACAATGATAATTCCATACAAAAAAAATGAATCAGAATAAATATGGGAATAGAAGGCGGTATAAATTAACGTCGATAAGGAGTTGTTCTGATAAGCAATGCTTAGTCTGTGTCATGAAGCTACATTGTCTGTATACAACGCCAACTTTTGACCCTGTGAAGTTTTTTTTATGAACTATATATGCTTCTTACGTGGGGGAGAGCGTTTTTTAACGTTCCGGTTTTCATGCATTGACAGAAAACAACGAAAAACAATCCAGTTTAGCAATTTAGACACTGGTAGCAAAATCACATACATTCACGGAGAGGTTTTCTCGCGAGACACGTCGTTTAGAAACGCTAATATACGCCTTTTCACGTTAAACGATATGTCAAAATTCTCGTTACACTATTAATGTGTAGGGTCAGATTCCTCAGGCTTGGACACTCAGTAGCAAAAGTGTTGCTCAAAAGTCGAACGAATTGTTTGTGAAAATTTAATGTATGTCTATGGTCCTTCCAGTGGGTGGTAATGTCGAGTATATCATATCTACTAATCTTTTGTGCGTCAATGCCATTGGCTTTGAACCCAGAATTGAACTCGCTTGCACTTTAAACATGAGATTGAACCATTAAACATGCAAAACTGCGATTAAAGTGTTTGCGAAATTCAGTGACCCGGTGAAATGTCCTCAAAACCATGTTGAAACTGGAGGCTTAGACGTTTGCACAGTCGGTGCGTCGTTACGGTAACAGTGTGTTTAAAATTTACGGTAATTTTATTAAGTACATCGCCGATGAATTTGTAAATTGTAGCTTCTAAATAAAACGAACTCTTGCATGAGAGAGAAGTCTAGTCCACCCGGAATGAATACTGTTGAAAATTAGCACTATAGTGTCCTTACCGCAATCTATATAAAGCGAGATACGAATTCTATATACCCCTGTACTTTTACTGAATATAATTCATAATTTATTTAGGGTAGATATGTATAAATAGCACAATTTTCTCAGGCGCTGTTTAAAATGAGATTAGTTGCTATAGCCTCGTCAATATCCACATGCTTAAATATTAAACATTTTTTCGTCTAATTTTAAAATCCGTAATCATGCTACTAGAAAAAGATTCTCCAAATGGGCGGCTAGATTTTTGTGTAAGAATATTATATCTATATACATTGAAATAAACTGGGCGAATCCCGACGCGAATCCCTGTCAATCCAGATGGCCATAGTAACCAGTTGTTCAGTCTTAGCCTTCCGTGCATTAGTTGTCTATAGATCTATGAATTTAGACGCACGTGTATGTTTAAATCTCGACGAGTTAGTACATATACCTGGGTCTTTTGCGCCGTCTTCATTTTGCGGCGAGATTTTGCGATTTTGACCTTCAGTTTGATTGTTATTCGTCTCGGACGAGAGACCAGGTTTCCCTTGTGGCGCCGTCGACGCGACAACCGCAGTAGCCGACCTACTGTTGCCACAGCCCATAATTTCTTACGAACAGAGCTTACGCGTTGCGATTAGTCTTTCTTCTGATCTAATAAAGTGATAATCTTCTCGTCGCTGGCTTTGCAAAGTACACTAAAGTTGTCCGTTTGATCTTTTGATGTTTACTTGTGCGGCATCGAAACATTCTGATTATATATGCGACAACTGATTTAGGACAGCTTTGCGCCATCTGATTCGCTAACGTTGTTTACCCGTTGCCAAGCGACGCGTTGGATAAACACAGTTTAGTGAAATAGTGGTATTAAGTTTCATCGCATTGCCTTTTCATGGATGCGGTGGATCATGAATGAATAAAAATGTCCTCAGTACTTGGTCACGAAAGCCTTCGGTCAAGGTTCGATATATTTTGTTACACGGCTCAATTCAAGGCTCGAATCGCGATTTTTAAGCAGGGGACCGCTGATAGATAAGTTCGAAATATGACTATGATGATTAGAATGGATAAAACTACATCTCCTACAACTACAAGTTGAGAAGTCTGAAATGTATACTGCGAAATGTACAAACGAAAAGGCTGTAGGAATCGCCCGAGTTTGGGGCACGTTTTTTCTCTCGATAGATGCAAACAAGTCAATAGTTTTGAGTGTTCTCATGTATAAGTGCCCTTATTTAAACATCAACGGACCAACCACTTGTTCACATCTATCAAAAGCAGAAAATGACAGCGAAAATTGTGCATGAAGCCGCTTTCTTACTGCCTGAAAATATTTGAATGATAAACAGTATCTAATGGTAACCAATATGCTTTCAATCCATGACAGCAATATAGAATAACGATCAGACTAATTTAGATAATTTCTCAAATTATAGTCAATTAGCCAAATGTGGAGACGAACGGCTGCGACCCCATGCCATTCAATGACCTTCCCAAATGTCTTCATACTGATACCTCACCTAACTACCGGGATAACATGATGAGTAAAAGCTCGGTCAGAAATATCAACTAACAAGTGCAACTAGATATACAGTTACTTGATGTGGTCTGATGAGTTCCAATAATGTCAGTATATATAGCTGACGTGACATAGTTGACTTTCAAATTAAAGCACCTTTGGGTACAAGGGTGTACGTGTATTGTAATAGTACCCATGTACCTAGTTTGTGTAGTGGACCGAAGCACATCGGCATTCAGCACTGTCCGCCATATACCTTTAAATTTACGCCGTGCATTGGTATATGTGGGTGAAATGTTTGCGGGCTGCGTTAGTTTTCAATGGTAGCACTGTTGGATTTTCAATCGCTTTAAAATCGCCTGTTGTTGGGTAACTGATTAAATCTTAGTATTCCTAAATCGAGGATCCTCTTTAAACAATTGTTGGTTCCAAAACTGAGATTTTATCGCTTTTCGAGCATTTTTAGAACCGTTGAAAAAATCATTATCCGGTGGATAGCGTGCTATCCAGCCTTCATACAACCCGTACCTGTCTTATTTTTTTACCTTTGTTCAGTCTTCGAGTAAAAGTATGCTTTTAGTAGAACCAAATGAATTCCACACATTAATATTAAAATGATATGACATAAGAGGAAACTGGTCCGTGACCCGGCTCCTCTGCGACGTAGGAATTTGAAATAAGCGCGTCATTGACAACCACAATAACATGCAATAACATGTTCACGACAATAGCGACTGAATCAAAACCAAGCTATACGTTTTTCTTAATAAAAGCATGGATAGTTAAAAGACGAGTGATTTTATTATCCATGATAAAAGACGAGTTGTTAGAAACGTAGAATCTTCATTCAAAAGGCAAACAAACGAACAAGTATATATCGTTTGCAGCTTCGATCTTTACGGAAATATCTTGTTCCCTGAATCGCTGCATGGTTGGCTCTCTATGACCAAACATGAGTGAAGATAAAGTCGACCTGCTAGATGCATTTAGTTCCGGCGAAGGATTCCAAGACACGATGAACAATCTCTTAGGAGCTTTAGATAACACAAAGTCAGCATCGGCTGCTATTCTTGCGCTTCAAGCTCTTTATAACATTGAAGACAAAGTTGAAAGTGGTCAGTTCAAAGCGATATTCGATAAAAAAATACGCGCTTTTTTACGGAAATGGCGTTGTGAATCTCCCCTGAGTGAGGCGTATTCGGAGGCAAGCGGACGAGTAGTTCCTTTTCTTAGAAATCTCAGCATCTTCGAGACCCTCAAAGTCCCATTGTTCATCGATGATTACGGAAAGAAAAGGATCATGAGTGAATACGGGCAGGGTGTTGTGTTGATCGATATTACTCTGCAAACACCAATCGTACACGTCACCCACGAGGAAGAAAAAGATCTCATTATGGCTGATCGTAAGTTCATACCAAGTAAAAATAAAAATATCATCGCGGGAACGTGGTTTTCCCCAAAGAATCAACTTGGTTCGCCACCACGCAGTGTTTATGGAAGTTGGGCATTTGAGACGACACTTGAGAAGTTAGGCGTTGAATGCATACGTCAAGGCGAGATTGTTTCTTACAAAAATGAAGTCAATTTTATTCTATACGCTGGTAAGAAAGATGCTGAAGATGAAGATGAACGTGCAGTTCACCTGAGGAAGGCGACTGACGAGGCCGCGATAAAAATTCAACGCAGGTTGACCGCGTATACCGGCGTGTCCGTATTCGTTCCATCAACGTTTCTTCCAGTGCAAGCTCCACAATCCAAGACCAAGCCATCGCCATTTGAAAACGTAATAACGGGTCCGTTTCCTGTTAGGCACAACCCTTTTTGTGTGCGTAGTCGCCGCCGCCGCCGCCGCGACAATCACTGTCAAGAATTAGATTAAACAATGAACAGTCTTCACAAAAGGTTATACACTATTATTATCGTAAAATGCTGTCACTGTAGGACAAGCTTGATAATGCATTTTAATGCAGTTACGCCTATTAACTCTTCATATCTATTAGGCTGTTGCCGTTGCTTACGTCTGGTTCCCATATTCTAGCTAATTCTCTCTGTGTTCGTTTTGTCCAGCTTTGTTACACGTAAATTTCCTCTCAGGTAGATCTTCCTGTAGGATTTGAGCAGTCATTTTGCTCTCGTGAACTCACGGAGTACAATTCTATTCTGCTCTTATCATGAGGAAGATTTTCCTGAGTGTAAACTATATATTGTGTGGAGATTGTATGATCTCTGTTTTATTTCTTTAGAAAGGGCTCCTGTAATTGGCGTGAGCTGTAGCAATACCCTGCCTCTATTATCAGTTTGTGAATATTCATGCATTTGCATTAATTTTGTGCTGTTTGTGTTTGTATTACTGTATCTTGTATTCAAGTGGCAAAGCAAAATAAATAAATAAATAAATAGATAAATAAATAAATAAATCGCTCAAGTTATATCTGGTTTCGTCATTCGCCACCACATTTCTGAGCCAGAGTGACTGAGATCACGAGCCTCATTTTTAATCCCATGTTCTATTGTTTTAATTGCATTTGAGGCGACCGAAATCCGATGTATAAACTAGGCCTTAGCCTGCAGAGCCGCATACCAGCAAAGCTCTTAAAAATTGGACAGTCAAGTCAACTACACTACCTTTCATATGATGGAGTTTTCCTCTGAGATATGTGGCAGCAAAACCAATCAGATCTTCCGGCTGTTCAGCCAAGATTTGCTTCGACAAGTCCGCCATGAGCGTTTCAAAGGTATCCGGAACGCTTATCTTTGTAGGCGCGTAAGATACAGACATGTTGTAAGAATCCTCGTTAATTTACATCCAATTTTTTTACCAGCAATTTATGCATCCTTTTTTCGATGATTGTTGCGGTTTGCGCGCGCCAATTATATAGCACGTCAGCAAACGATGTCGTCATTCGAATCGTGAATAAATTTGTGAATAAATTAAAATTCATATCCGGATTTACAAAGCCAAATCGCAAAGAATATAAATATCACTGCTCGAATAGATAATCAGTAGTTCAGTGTGTTAAAATGTTGGCTGATTCACAATTGGACATTTTCCAGCTCTATTAATTTTCTACCCTCTGCCAAAGGGTGAAAACTTCATTGAGTTTTGAAATTTCTCAAACAATCACTATCAGTTGATTTTTTCAAAATATACATTGTAGCTTCTTCGCAAATGAGAATGGTATAAATGCCTGAGGGCACGCAATTATTACTGTATTGACAAATACGATTAATTATATATATACCTCAGACCAACCCATGCAGACCACAAAAATGAAATTAAAAAAAAAATGAAGTATAATTAACCCAATCTCAACTGAGTCTGAAGCCTGTTTTCCACTAGGCGGAATTTTACCCGCGGAGCGGAATTTTTAATTGTCTGCGCGCTTTCACGCAGAACTAATGTGAGAAAAACAAAGAAAAATTCCGCTCCGCGAGCAAAATTCCGCCTAGTGGAAAACAGGCCTGAGTGGGATTCTTTGGACATTTGCATGCATGGAACGTGCCATCACTGCCATGACACAGTCACAGACCTATATATCATGATCATGCACTGACTTCTAGTATATTTCCCGGGTCGGTGGCCATCATGGCCATGAGAAGCAAAACTGCATATAAGTAAAACTGCATTCCAAATATTCAGCACTGTTTTTATAGTATATGTCGTGTCATAGACAGTCCAGAAACGAGTAGTATTTATTCTAAAACTACACACAGCGCATCTGCATGGATCGTAGATTTGTTGCAAGTTAAACAGCAGGCTGTTACACAAAAAGTTTTATAGAAATGCTTAATAAAGCTACTTTTGACGCTGAAAGAATTACAATAGTAATTACAAATAGTCCAGTCATCATCAATGGCACCAGCGCTGATATAAACATTGTCAAGCTTTCGGTTACTGTTTTACGATATCATTTCAGCAGTAAACTGAAGTGTTTCAGCCTTTCGAAAACGTTTCTTTTTGAAAGACAAAGTCAAAGTGTTCTATTTTTTTCCTCTCGGCCTTAGTTCGTCCATGCAACTGCGAAGTAAAATCATCGGTTTTACGGATGGATTGAAGTATTCGTGTCCCTGAAAAAGATGTGAAATATATACAATCATTTAACGGTGTGCAGTCTTGCTCGTTATTACGACTTTTGTTAGTGTATATTTCATGCACAATACCTTTGACCAGTCGTAGCAGACGGAGTAGGCGAAAATAGTACCAGATGAGTCAAAACCACACGCAGA